ATATATATATATATATATATATATATATATATATAGTCAAAACTTCATACTAGATATGGCAGCTCAGCTTCTCATTTTCAAGCAGACTCAAGGTTAGGGTAAATAGATTTATTGTCAAAAATTGTGACACCTTTAGAGATATACAATATTCAGAGCAAAAGCAGGAAAAGTGCTTCAGATCCACTGTGGGTCTGCTCACTGCATCTTTGGTTACTGTAATTCTATCATGTGAATTTATGTGGTCAGGCCATTTAGCTTAATGAAATAACTGTGTGACTAACGTAACAGAAGCAAATACACCTACACATCCCCTCCACATAAACACACTCTAATAGAAAACACAATGAAAATACTACGTAATCAATTTGTTAGTGAGTACGGGGCAAAAATATAAACCAGTCTCCAATACCATTCTTTAAAAAGGGTTTTAATGTCTTTTGACAGAACAGCAGGGTCAGAGATTTATAAACTTTAGGGGTGAAGCTATTCACAGCATGTTTGGGGCTAGCACAATTCCCTGCTACCTCCTTACTCTGCCAATATCCATGTCATTGTAAAATAAGGGATTACCCTAGAAACTTCTTTAATCATGCTGAGATTTCTGGGGCAACATTTTTTTTAAAATAAAAAGCTATTACATGTATAACTCCTTTAAATACTATTTTCAGTCAAGTTCCAGCTACTCTATTTGGAGTGATACTCTATTGAAGAGTTAACTATGATTGTTTCTTTCTATCTTTATTGATGCATTGTGGTTTTAATTAATTCATTAAATGTGTGTTCAACAGTTTTTTATTGTGGACATTTTACTTGATGTATTCTGTAACTGTTGTAAACCATTGGTAACTGCTAAGATGCAGTGACATACATTTAATGAATAAATACATCCATTTATTAAATCCAATAAACTATTAAATAAGGAAAGGATTCAATAAACAGTATTTGGAATTCATTCCAATCCCTTTATCATCATTGATTGTATGTTTGACTATATGTATGCAGTGGAAGCCCAAGCATGACTCAACAACGTGGAAGAACAGAAGAGGATGGCTCCAAACCACTATCTGATTTCATCTTCTAAAGGGATGCAGTGTGGGAATTTTTTTTAGTAATTCTCCACAGCTCTACACCTAATCCAGCCCATGCCAATGCTGGTAATTGCTTTTGTTCTTTCATTTCTATGTGCCAATTTCATCCCATTCTGTACAGTTTTCCAAGGGCTAATATGAGACCCAACTCTTTACATAATTTATTTCCAATACTCCACTGGGTTGGAAAGAATATAAAAGCTCTGCACTTAAATAACACTTTTTAACAATGTCATAAGAATAGCAATTTCAACAATATCTCTCCCCCAGAAGAGTAAATATTTTTAGACCTTTTACAGCAAATACCTATAATTTCTCTACCATAAAATAATTACCCAGGAGCCCATTGAAAGGAAGAAGGCTATAGACATTAGCAATAACAATAGCATGCACACTTATATACCACTTCACATTGCTTTACAGCCTTCTCTAATCAATTTACAGAGTCAGCATACATTGCCCCCAACAATCTGGCTCCTCATTTAACTGACCTCAGAATAATAGCAATAGCAATAGCAGTAGACTTATATACCGCTTCATAGGGCTTTCAGCCCTTTCTAAGCGGTTTACAGAGAGTCAGCATATTGCCCCCAACAATCTGGGTCCTCATTTTACCCACCTCGGAAGGATGGAAGGCTGAGTCAACCCTGAGCCGGTGAGATTTGAACCGCTGAACTGCTGATCTAGCAGTAGCCTGCAGTGCTGCATTTAACCACTGCGCCATCCTTGGAAGGATGGAAGGCTGAGTCAACTTTGAGCCAGTAAGAATCGAACTGCTGGCAGTCAGCAGAATTAGCCCTCAATACTGCATTGTAACTGCTGTATCACCATGGCTCCTTACTAGACCCCTAAAGTCCATACTTTGTCAGGTACAATTGAAGAACAGTCTTACCGTACCTGTGAAGCTGTTCCAAGGCTAATTGGTGTTCTTTCAGTTTCCGATGATATTGATCTTTGAGAGCTTCTTGTTTTTTTGTTTCCTGAGCTAGTCCCTGTTGCAGCTTATCCACCTGTATTCTAAGATCACTAACCTCTGCTTGGTTGGCATTTTCAACCATTTTCAACTGGATGAACAAGGTATCATAGCGCTCCAATTCTCTATCTCTCTCCTCTAAGACTTTAAGGTTGTAAATGAAATCTTCTTTTAAAGTGTTATATTTCCTGTGCACTTCTTGAAGTTGTTTTCTGGTTTCTTGGAGTGTAGTTTGCTGAAAATGGATCTGTCGAGCTTGTAATTCTTTCAGTTCTTGTTCTTTACAGATAAGAAGTTCATCTAAATCTTTCTCTGCATATAACATTGTTGTTCCTGAGAAAGAGGATACCTTAATTAAAGCAGAAAAAGGCACTTTATCTTCAATCTTAACTCCATCCATCATTTTAGTCTGTACATAATATCTGACATATTTGTATTTAGCTTATGCAGATATGGACAAAAAAGGGAATAATAAGTAGTAACTGATAACTAACATAAGTTATTTTACAAAGTGGCTGATTTAGGTTGGCCACAGTTAAAACATCTAATGATAATCTGTAAGTCTATAGTACTTACTGCAATGTTCAATGAGAAAACTTTGGACTTTTGGCAACTTCAGGTGGTCCAAAGATCCACTACTATTATTGATCAACCTTATTTTTAGAGGCTTCATTTGCTTCTGTCTTGTTCCTTATTGCAACTTAAAGCAATTGTATTTTTATCTGGACTCATATATATAGAAATTTGGAATAGATGTTTACTATAATATTGTTTATATTCTTTTACATTTTAAATATTTTAAACACATTATAATCTACTCACATTATTGATATATAACGTGGCATTTTTCTGTGTCACATTGTGAACATATAAAGTCAGGTGAAACAGTAATAAATGCCTCTTTCCAGTCCAATAGTAGCATTTTAATCTTTCAAATTTAATCTTTCAGGTTTTCAGATAAAGCAACATGATCAAATATGATCCAGTACTTCAATGTTTTCTTTTAATACAGCTCTAACTATTTCCCCAAGACATTAATAGAAACTAAAATTAAGTACTTTCTTTACCACTCAGTTATATTCTATGCTTTCAGCAATATGGGCCTGTAGTTCTCCACTAGTGGACAATAGAAAAGTCATTTTGTAAAGAAAAAGGTCACTCTTAATCATTTATGATGCGTTGAACATCATGAATATGTCAGACGAGAGAATTCTGCATCTACATGCTAGAAAGAATCAGTATTTTATAATACTGGTTATACTAGAAAGAATAACAAACAAGAGTAAAGTCAAACAAAATGTTTAAAAAGAGCAGGGAAGAACTATGAATGAAAAAATAATCTTGCATATTTGTCATATGTTTTTTAAAAAAGTATATATACTCTAGTTTTTAAATGTAATGTTTTCAGTTATATGAACAGCTCCAGATATTCTTAAAATCAAACAGCTTAAAAAGGGCAGGATCATGTATGTCTTTCTACATGTTGCATAAATCTACAGTTAATGATAGCAACTTTTTCTTGTTGAAAGATGGGCAACAGGTTAAAAAACTAGTTCTGACCATCATGTAAAGTGGGGAAAATAACCCAATTTCTATATGTTTTATTCCAACTAGATTAGACTAGATCCCACTCTCATGTGGACTATTCTCAAAATTTGCTTTTTAAAATGCAAAAATAGGGCATTTTACACACACATACATATACAAAGAGAGAGGCTATATATCAAAGCTTTACGTATGTATGTATTCTGTATATAAAATCACTAAATTTAACTAACAAGCAGATATCAAGAGATTTAAATTTCAAAATAGTACATTCTTGATCTTCTCTACCAAATACCGTATTTTTCGGAGTATAAGATGCACCTTTTTCCCTCAAAAAAGAGGGTAAAAATCTGGGTGCGTCTTATACATTGAATACAGCATTTCTGGCCTACCGAAACCCCTTTGCAAAAGTGGACGTGCAGAAGATTTGGGAGACTTGCAAAATGCTCCTGAGGGCATGGGGAGGGCAAAAACGAGCAAAAAACAGGCCATTTTTGCTCGTCCCCTCCCCCAGCACTCTACAAGCCTCTCAAAGCTCTGAATGCCCCACCCCCCTTTTTGGGGAAAAATGAGGCGTGTAGAGGGTTTGGAAGGCATGCAGAGTACAAAAACTTTTTTTTTAATTACCTCTTCAAAATCATGCTGCATCTTATACTCTGATGCATCTTATAGTCCGAAAAATACCTTAATATAAAATTTGATGGTAGCCATTTGCAAAGTGATGTCAAGGGCTTTAAAGTCTTGACATATGCCTAACTGCTGGTTAAATTTAGTAATTCAGTTTTTATAGAAGACTTTTCTAATAGTGTCAAGAGAACAAATTAAAGCAACCTTATTTCCACTTTTGTCTTTTTTTTTTCAAATGAGAATGGTATGTAGTTGTCAGGGTCAAGCTATTGTATATATAAATAAATAAAAGGCAAACATAACAATAAGTATTTAAGAAATCAAAATGGGAAAACTTTTGATATCACCACTGAGAATTAAAGACAAGCTGATAAAGGAAATAAACGGAGGACAGCAGCATTATATGAGAGGCACCATAAGCAAAAAGGTGCAAAGATTTTTTTGTATGGACTTGCTCATAAAGAAGGAGGTTTTGTTACTGGAGAGACACAGGCTGATAGAT